AATGTGCCGCCAAGATGGGTCCTGTAACCCTCTTAATGGCCGAGATATAGCTATGGATACGTAGTTTTCTGAAAAACAAGAAGGAATACTTGTGAACGGCGAAGTCATCAATAATTTGCGATATGCGGACGATACAGTACTCCTAGCTTCTAGTCAAGAAGATCTGCAAACACTACTTGATAGTGTCGTTGAGAGTTGTAGGGAGGCAGGTCTGGATCTTAACATAAGGAAAACCAAAATACTCGTAATAAGTAAACAACAGAATATAAAACCGTCTATATATGTAAATAATACCAAACTTGAGCAAGTTGATAAAATCGTCTACCTTGGACAGCAATTAAATTGTAATGCAGAAAATCACGGCGAAATTAGATCCAGAATAGAGCAGGCTAGAGCTGCTTTTAGAAAGATGTCCAAGGTGTTATGTAACAGAGACCTAAAATTGGCATTAAGAATCCGCCTACTTCGCTGCTACGTATTCTCGGTCTTACTTTATGCTGTCGAGTCGTGGACTGTGAATAAAATTGATCTAAATCGCCTTGAGGCTTTCGAAATGTGGTGCTATAGAAGAATTTTAAAAGTTTCCTGGGTGGAGAAGATTCGTAACTCCACAGTACTAGAACGTCTCAGCAAGACTACTGAGATCATAAAAAGCATCAAGCAGAGAAAGCTGGAATATTTCGGACATGTAATGAGAGGTCCCAAATATAGATTGCTACAAAATATCATACAAGGAAAAATAGCAGGCAAACGCAGTCCAGGACGAAGAAGAACCTCATGGTTGAAGAACTTGCGAGATTGGTATGGTGTAGATACAAGCATGCTATTTAGGGTGGCAGTGAATAAAATTAAAATAGCTATGATGGTAACCAACGTTCTGAAAGGACATGGTACATGAAGAAGAAGAACGTAGTTTTACCATAAAGTTAGCGTAAACATTGATTTTTGGGAAACGGTTGCAGCAATAAATTATTTATTGGCGTAAAACTTTAGCAGTTTTACATATAGTCTTGGTTTGAATTCTTCCTAATAAAATGGATACGTTAACTTTACATTCTCATATTGAGAATGGCATTTATCTTCGATTTTCTATTTCGGAAAATGTCCTAACATTCTCCTACTTTTATTAAACATTTGTGCATGCGTTAAAATGCTGTACCTTTTATATACCGACGTTGAGTTTTTGTATTCGATTTGATGCCTTTATATTAGTGTATTGTTTTTTCTTTCCCTATTCCCTTTTTGCATTTTTCTTAGTGCATATTGTTTTAACTACGTTCTTATTTAACTGTTGGAAATATCGGTTAGCGTGTGGAGGTATTGTGGTTTTTATTCTGGTAAAATGGAAGCGCTCTCTTTGATGGTATTGCTACTTCTTACTCACCATGTTCGCTAAAAATTTAATTGAAAGCATAAATTCGAAAAATTTTCTGTTAATATTTCTCTAGTTTTTATTTCTGTTTCTTAACAATTTTACATAACCATTTAATTTTTTCCAATTTATTCTTCTTCAGGTGCCCTGTCCGCTGCGAACGTTGGCTATTAACATTCTCCAGTAATTCTGGATCTTGCTTACGGCACTTCTGAATATTTCAACCAATGTGAGCCCGAATCACTTTTTCAGATTTTGGAGTCACGAGTGTCTTCTCCTGCCTGGTCCTCGCCTGCTGTCTATTTCCCCCTTAATAATCAATTGCAGTAAGCGTTTCTTATGTGGCCTAAATATTGAAGTTTTATTTGTTTAATTGTGGTCACGATTTCTTTTTCTTTTCCAACCTTTATGTGGGTGACATGTTCGGTCGTCCAGGATATACGAATAATGCGTTGTTATTTCCACATTTTGAATGCTTCCAAATTTTTTCATGAGCGTCTCTGTCAGTGTCCAGACCTCTGCACCATATAGTAAGATAGGACAAATGTAGCATTTAATTAGACGTAGTTTTAGAGCATGTGGCAAATTCTTGTTTACGGGAAGCTTTTTCATATTGTTAACTGCTGCTCCAGTTCGTTCTATTCTCGCCTTAATTATGTTTCCATTTTGCTTCTAAAGTGGTACCAAGGTATACTGCATTAACCCTTTCCATTGCCTATTGTAATTCATCTATGCTACTGATGAAAATCACCTTTTATTGGGCATATCTTATGTTCTTCGTTAACTCACTGCATGTTTTTATGCATTCTAGTGCATTTTTTAAATATTTCTTCAGAGTAAATATTGAAGAATGGACTGGATAAGATACACTCCTGTCGGACACCTGTTTTGATCTCCACAATTTCAGTAAGTTCAATGCCTGTTTTTACTTATGCCGTTTAACACTATAGTTTATTTTTATGAACGAGAGAGTAATTAGCATAATTTTAACTGGTACCTCCGACCACTCCATGGGCGTGCTCAAGATTAATTGAAAAATTACTTTGAATAATTGTAAAAAATAAATGAATTATTTCAGTGTTATAAAGTGTTATGTGTATGTAAACAAAAGTGACCTCTTTTATCACACACTATATTAGAACTGACTGGCCTACATTAAAAAGGGTTTTAAAAAATTCACATTTTTTTTAATTTTTAAAAATTACAAAAGAGAAAAAGAGTTTTTAAAACCGTCTAAGGTATGTTAAATAGATGAATAAAAATATTAATATAAAACTTACAGCTACTTGTTACAAATCCAAATTAGATTCAGAAGATGAACTTTCAGAACCAAGATTTATAATAACTGGCTCGATCATTTTATCAGTAATATTGTCCAGCTTCCACATTTTTTCCTCTTCTTTAATAGTGTGATTTACTGCCTTTTCCCAGTTTTCAGGTTTTACATTATTTACGGCCTCCAAAAACAACTGTTTAACATCATGAATTTTAAAAGTGGTATTTTTTCTTGAAACTTCACTCTTTATCTGTGCCCATACCAGTTCAATCGGGTTTAATTCACAATGATATGGTGGGGATCTAAGTACTGTCATTCCACGATTTTTGGCAATTTCATCAATTTCGTATTTTTTTAATTTTTCTTTATGAAGGGCACACAACGAATAAAGTTCCTTTCTTATAGATCCGGGATGGTACGTAATATTTTTTGAACTCAGCCAATTCTGCAAGTCTTTTTTTAACCACTTGGTTGTGGGCAGTCCTTCTATAAGTCTGGAGTGATAACTTGCATTATCCATTACTATTACACAGTTCTTAGGAAGAAGATCTATCATTTGTTCGAACCATTCTTGAAAGACATCAGCGTTCATGTCTTCATGGTAGTCACCGGTACGAGTTGATTCAAAAGTTAATAAACCACCTTCAACAAAACCGTCTGAACTGCCAATGTGTACTATTATCAGCCTGCGTCCCTTTCCTGATAGTGGGTTTAAACCAGTAGATAAGTTATTTACAAAAGCGTGCCTTTGACTTGTAACAGTTTCATCCTGCCAAAATTTATTTAGTGTATGACCCTCGTTGATCCATGTTTCATCAAGATAAAATATTTTTCTTTTTTGGTTTCTCATTTCCTTTATGGTTCTTAGAAAATGTCTTCTCCATATGACAATATCGCTTCTTTTTAATAAAATAGACTTTCTGGGATTCTTTTTCCAGCGGAAGCCTATTTCTTTTAGTTTCCGGAAGTTTCCATAACGTACTTCGACTCATTTCTGGGTAATCCTTATCATCTCGAACTGAGACAAGAACTTTATCCAATGTTGGAAATTCTTGTCTAAAGAAGAATTCATGCACTTTCCGTCGAAGTCCTTCTTTAAAATGATATTCTATTTGAAATTTTGGTTTCCCTGGAGCATTACGTGGCATTTGAAAACTACCACATTTCTCTTCTTTAATAACTCTGTAAATCGTAGATTTCCCAACACCAAGTGTACTGCTAACTAACTCAACGGTCTCATCAACACTTTCACATAAACGTTTGTCTGTAAATGATTTAAAACAATTAAATATTAATGTTTTTTCATTAACTGTTAAAGGACCAATTTTTCGGCGTTTACACGGCACTTCCAAATTTTCCATAACACTAGTATACACAATAAACTGCACCTTGCAACTGAAGTTCCTACTTTTAGTGAACTGTTAAGAATTTTGAATACGCCACTTGGACCTTCCTACAAAATGGAAAAACCCACTATCACATTTTCTGTGGAATAAGTTTAGAAGGTAATTATCTAGTCAATTACTGTCGTAGATTCCTGGAATTAAAGAATTAAATGTTTGATTGTTGAAACCCTTACTTCGTGGAATGCACTCATTTCAGATAAAATAAAACGTTTTATTTTATCTAAAGAATTAAACTTTATTTTGCAAATAGGTAGGTACTTATTAAACTTTTATTGGTTATATATAACCAATAAAATAAACATCTTACATTTCTTGCAAATTCATTAGTACCTGTTAACCTCCATCACTCCGACACTGGCAACCTTATTTAGGGATTAGTAACCCTCACAACTATTGTATTCTATTCTGCTCCAACCTTTATACCTGGTGGTCATACTCAATTTAAAATTGTTTTCCTATATACTTCTGTAAACTTGTTGACAAATATCTGTTTTTCATTGAGTCACCCATATCAACAGTTTAGGGATTTGCATACATAATTTATTGTTTTATTACTCTCTCATACATAAAAATACACTATAGTATAGGTTTGCCACAATCCGAAAATCCTTGTCGTTAATAACCTTTTTTCGTATACTATTTATTAGTTTGTCATGTTTGACATTGTCAAATGTTTTTCTAGAATCTACAAAGCATACATACACATCCGTCTTTACACTGCTGTATAAGCACCTGGAGAGCGAAAACTCCTTCTCTATGTGCTTTCTGAAAGCCATGCTGCGATCTATTAATATTTGACTCACATTTGTTTAGTTATGTTTAGGTTAGATTTTGTCTATTTATGTATTGTGTCACCTCTGTATACGGAAGTATTTATTTTTTTCTTGTACTAGTTCTGTCTTTTGGCTTTTTTGGCGACGAAGGATGTTTAAAAATAATAGAGTATACGTTTTAAACATTTTATTTATTGCAACAATCAAAAAATATTTATTAACTATAAATAATAAAAGACTGGTTTATACAGCTACTGAGCTCGTTGAAGTTCCTAAAATTGAATCAACTTGTTTTTGTACATTATCTATAAGCTGCAGGAATATGGAAGTAATGCTATTAGTCAATTCGTTAATAACGTTTTGTATTGGATTATCAGATTTTTCTTGAACTGAAAAAGAATTAATAATATCTCTAAGGGTTTGCAGAATACTATTTACAATATCCCTTAAAGGCTTGACGAGCAAATTTTCTATAACATCAGAAAACGTATCTCTTGTTTGCAAGCCTGTACTTTTAGCTTGGATCGTTGCTGTAGTCGTAGAAGTTCCTTCGTTGATTACAGACGAAAATAATTCGGCAATTTGGGCTTTAATGCTTTTTATAATGCCTGAAACTGTTTGAACTGCGTTGTTGATAGTGCTAATAACAATGCTTTGAATCGGATCTTTTATGGTTGTAGGATCGACGTAATAAGAAAGAATGAGTGTATCAATACCATCAAAAATTGAGTTTACATGAGTAATTAGTGGTTGCAAGATAATGTTAGCAATTACATCTTGAAATATATTAAATGGAAATGCTAGATCCCTTCTATACCTCGGATTTAATTGTCTGGAATAGACGAACATGTCAATATCTTGAACACTCATTTCTTGGTCATATAAAAGAGCAGTAAGAACTGGAGTCACATCTCGTTTATTTATGCGAATTGGTGTAGTACCTTGCCCTTCTAAGGAGGGTTGAATACAATCACTAAGTATTGTAGCAAAAATATCAGCATTGATTTTTATACCATTTTGTGTTGGTAGAAAAAGGTCAACCCCAGCTTGTGCGTTTAAAACTTCCAATATATTGTTTCCCGTGTATATCTGATCTTCTGCATTGCTTTGGTTTTGAAAGCATTTTCCAAGTAATTGGCCTACATATCTAATAAGATTTTGACCTGATGGTTTCGTAATTTCAGCTCTCGTTGTGGTGCAACCTACCAGAACGACCTAAAATTAAAAAATATAAATTTAATCATAGTTTGCTTGATAAATACTTTCAATATAACAAAAAGATGAATATTTTGCCAACTATTATATGAGGTACCAATAATTACGGCAAAAATACGAACCCAAGGCTAGATAGCTCGGGCACATTATACGAATGCCAGGGAACCGAAATGTTAAAACAATACTGAATGAAGGAGAAATGCGAAAAAAGAAGGGGACGTAAAAATAAGAAATGGTTAAAACCAGTAAAGCAAGACTTGTCAGAAATATTTATGGAAAAGCAAGCGTACAGAAACAAATGAAGGAAAATAACCAAGGTTTTGGAAGCTAGAGGAACCAATTTATTATATTATGATACATATTGGAATATGTATCTATTGTCCCAATATGTTAGTAGATATGCCGACGATACCTTAGTGCTGGCTAATTGCGGAGACGACCATCAAAATCTAATGAACAAAATAAAACAAACCTGTGACCAGTTTGGATTAAACCTCGACGTTACGAAAACTAAATACATGATAATATCAAAAACAATTATATACCGGATGACGGTATAAAAGTCGGAGATGCTGTGCTGGACAGAGTAGAGAAACTCATGTATCTCGGCAGTAATATCAATGTGAGCTAGGATCCGGCCTTCCGGAGTGGTAGCGTGGACTCTAAGTGAGGCTATGCTTAAACGTTTGACTTTGAGATGTGGACATACAAAGAACTACTAAGAATAATCTGGGTTGACAGAGTTAGAAATGAGGTCCTTAGACGGCTGAACCAAACAATACAACTGGTCAATATAATAAAGAGACGCAAGATGGAAACCTTTGGTCCATTATAAGACACCCTGAAAAATATGAACTTTTGCATCTGATCATTCAGGGAAACATCCAAGGTAAATGTTGTCCTGGTAGAACATCATGGCTGAAACATCTAAGACAACGGTACGGAAAATTGACTACATCGTTATCTATAGCTGCTACCTCTAAAGTCACGATAGCGAATATGTTAGCCAATATAATATCCAACGATCTCTAACGGTCACGGAACTAGAAGAACAGTTGTGATTAACTCTCATTAAAGCTAGTAAGTATTTATCACACTATACAGATAATGAAATATGTGGATAAATTGGGTATAAATAATAGACTTGTTGTAATTATTGAAAGCAAAAATAATACGATTTATGGCATATAGCTGAATGGAGATAACAGATCACTCATATAATTGAATGAACGACACAGAGAGTGATAAAGGATTGAAGAAAAAATATACAGGTTAAAAACACCTGAAATGAAAAATAAATATTACATAAAGAAATCAATAAATAGTGTAAGTATAAGAAATTAAACTCTGAGATCAAACCAATGAATTATTAATGTGCTACTCCCCTCAAAAATCAAAATAAAACCAAATTAACCAAACTACTTACAGCCAAGATAGTAATCAAAAACTTCATCGTAAACGAACACCTAGTTGTTTTCTTGAATAAACGTTATATCATTTTAATTATTTCCAGACAAATACATCTGTATCTTTAGGTAAATAAAAAAAGTTATCTATATATCTGCTGTAACAATTAAGAAATAATTATACAGAACGAACTTATAAAGAAAAATGAGAGTACTATTCGGTTAAGAAACCTGTTATAAGAGAATTTTTCTTTTATTTCCAAAAAGGAGTTTATTTGACATCATCACAGAAGTAACTTAAGGAATGTTGGCAAATAATGTGTTATACTACAAATAAATAGTATTAAAAAAATAAATAGTATATAGATAAATATATATATATATATATATATATATATATATATATATATAATATATAGATAAATATATATATATATATATATATATATATATATAATATATAGATAAATGTATACATATATATATATATATAATAATATATAGATAAATGTATATATATATATATATATATATATATATATATATATATATATATATATATATATATATATATAGATAGATAGATAAATGAAGTAACGATTATTTGTAATACCAATTTTTTAATACTATTTATTTGTAGTATAACACATTATTTGCCAACATTCCTTAAGTTACTTCTGTGATGATGTCAAATAAACTCCTTTTTGGAAATAAAAGAAAAATTCTCTTATAACGGGTTTCTTAACCGAATAGTACTCTCATATATATATATATATATATATATATATATATATATATATATATATATATATAGTAAACTCTTAAATATTGCGAAATCTGCAAGAAAGACTCCTACCATATATTATCACACTTGATCTTACCGTAACTTAGAATTGTAGAGTATATATATATATATATATTATATATATATATATATATATATATATATATATATATATATATATATAAGATAGAACCACAACTTACATTGTTTGTCCGGTAGAATATCTCCTAGCGCCACCTAGGAAAAAAATCTGAACTACCAACTGCCATTTTCAATCATATTTTGTTTTTGAAAAGATACGGTTAGGTTGATTTATAACATTCATTGCATAAGGTGACTCGTGGCGTATTAGGACATAAAAGCCGAACATCATATCTCTGTTGTTATTGGTCTGATTGGAGCATGTGATGTGTTAAATCAAAACGGATATAATGAATGTATTAGGATAGAAAAACAATCAAGTTTACTACCAAAAGGGCACTAGACAGTATATTTATTATTGGTGAACGTATAGCGACAAAGCTGGCACTGTAGATAAAAATAGATTTACTATGAAATAATTTTTGATTTATTGACTTAAAGAAGGCCTCTGAGCACAAAATAAACAACTGATCGAATCCTAACATGCCACATAGCAAACGAAAAGGGAGGATATAACGAATATATTCAGGAAGAAACGACACACAAAGCGACTACCAAAAGGGCACTACACAGCATCTTCGGTATTAATGAACCTGTAGTGACATACAGGTACACGTAGTGTAGGTAATGGAAAGAGTTTTTTCAGTTAGTGAGGAATACGGCCTTTGTCTCAACTTCAAGAAGACAAAGTGGATGCTAATAAGCAAAAAGCAACAACCTGCTCGACAATTCCGGAAAGTAACATACTAATTGACCATGTAGAATCTTATGTGTACCTTGGCACCAACGTAAATGCAAAATGGGAACATGCCACAGAAATTAAGGCGAGAATAGAACGAGCAAGAGCAGCATTTAGCAATATTAAAAAGCTCCTCATAAGCAAGGATTTGTCTCTGAACCTAAAACTACGTATAGTTAAATGTTACATTTTTCCGAATTTACTGTATGGTGTGGAGGCCTGGACGCTGACGGAGATGCTCACGAGAAAACTAGAAGCATTCTAAATGTGGGTGTACCGACGCATTCTTCGTGTATCCTGGACCGAACATGTCACCAACATAGAGATAATCCAAAGAATCGGAAAGGAGAAAGAAATCGTGTATACAATTAAACAAAGAAAGCTTGAATATAGGCCACATATTCAGACACGATAAGTAGTCTTAAAGAAGGCCTCTGAATGAGTACAAAATAAATTAGCCCAGTCCTAACATATGACACATTAAATCAAATAGTTTGAGACGTATATTGTATTTAGCGTGCCATTGTCCAAAAGTTTGGAATGCTATATTCATTCTAGGGCGTTTTTAAATGAAAATGATAAAAAAATTTAATTGTTTTTGTATTATTTTGGTTACATTTAACTTAGCGTAATTATTTCAGTCTTTCAGTTTAAATTAGAAGTGAGCTGTTTAAAAATGCCTAGAAACGTGATATCTCATCTTGACAGATCTAGAGTAATTGCTCTGTTACAACAGGGCTTTAGTCAAAGTTATATCGTGAATATTGTTGATATTACTCAGAGTGCTGTATCGAAAATAAAAAAAAAACATCTAAGATACAAATTATGTCTTGGATCGTCCCAGAAGTGGTAGAAGTCAATGTACAACAAACAGCAGCACAAGACCGGCAAATAACATTGATAGCTCGTAGAAATCGTCTGGAATATACAAGTGGTATATCCAGAGAAATTTCTAGGCTTCAAAGACTAAATATTTCACTGCAAACAATATCACGAAGACTATATGCGGTAAATTTGTATCGTAGAAGACCGCTACGTGTTCCTAAACTAACCTACCAACACAAAATAGTAAGATTGCGATGCGCTAGAGAAATGGTGCATCATGGTTCTAACTGGAATAACGTGATGTTCTCTGATGAGTCAAAAATTGGCTTGGTATCTGATTCGCGAAGAACACTGGTTTGGAGGGCCCCAGGACGACAAGCCCGACTAGATACAGACCAACCGCGTGTCCCATTTGAAGGTAGCAGTATTATGTATGATTTGGGGTTGTATTATGAGTGGTACACGGACGCCACTGCCGGTTCTAGAGAGAAGAGTCACTTATGCTGTGTACATCGAGGAAGTTTTAAATCTTGTCGTAGTTCTATTTCGAGAGGCAATAGGTAATGAATTTGTGCTTATGCATGACAACGCACCTTATCATCGAACAGCAGCAGTACAAAATTTTCTGGAAGAAGAAGGAATATCTACATTACAGTGGCCCTCAAATTCCCCCGACATGAACGTTATTGAGCATGCTTGGGACATTCTCAAAACACGCATCAAGAAGCGAAATAATCCCCCTATTACACTTCGAGAAACAAAAGATGCTGATCGTGAAGAATGGGAGAGAATTCCGCAAGCCCAGCTCGACCAGTTAATCGGCAGCATGCCAAATCGTCTATATGCATGCATGCAGGCCAATGGAGGAAATACTAATCATTAGTTTTATTAAAAATTATTTAATTAATTATTATACTAATTTATTTTTAAATGTAAGTTGTACATTGTAAGTTTTTCACTCCAAGAGAATAAATAATTTTTAATAATCAAAGGATGAAATATTCCAAACTTTTCGACATAATATGTATGTTTATATCCCCAGGATATAGTAAAAACATGATGTCAGGTCAGAAGAGTACCAGATCATATTTTATATTCGACAATTAATTGGATCTGCCGTAGCATGCAACTGGCAAAATTACTAGTTGTATATTATACTAATCTTTATAATGATTTATAGATTTATTCGCTTTGAAACAGGGTTTAATATGCCACCAGTAAGAAAAACGCACTATTTTCTATCAATTACGAGAATATATAGAAAAATTAGTTGCCTACTTACTACACAAGCAAACAAAATTTTAAAGGAGCTTGTATCCTGATCCTGTTCCTCTGGCTTCACTTGAAAGGTGAGTACATGGATCGGCCAGTTGTTGACTAAAATATCAACCCCGACAAGGTGCATCCCAATAGGAAACGTCTTCTTAACTTCTAGGTCAGCGGTGCCCAAACAGTCGATCGCGACAGCTTCTGGAGTCGATCGCAAAGTAATTCAAAATTATTTAGTTCCTGTATATCGAAAATACTTTATGCTTCTGAGGTAATGTGACCACGCGACGTTTGGCGAATGTCACCGATTGTTTTTGAGTGTCTGTATCCTCTATAACAAGCTGCGGTGACGGCTGACGGAGCATTATGTCAATCTCTATTAAATTACGACAAGTTGGACTTGAAGAAGTAAAATAGCAATATTTAAAACACGAAGTGAGTACGGACGAATATCTCACATAGGGCTTGCGGTTGGCACTCAGTAATTACGCAACGTCTTACAAACATGATATGAATGCATTCACATCGAAAGAAAATTAGTGATTTAAGAAAATGATTATTTTATGTCTATTATTATTAGATGCCTTAATTATATTTTGAATTTATAATCATTTACAATACGAGCATTTTCAGAAATCTACGTATTTCAGTATCTAGGCTTCAGTCTAGTTGTAGGATCAACTAAGGACTTGAAATAGGGAATACAGCTATGTAATTACTATAGATTTGTTGATTGAACATAACTAATATCCATGCATACACACATATAATGACACGCAGTTTATGGTATATAGGAGAAAGATATTGCCTGCGGATAATCTTATCACAGTAAGGACGCATGGTTGTGCCTGGCAGCAATTCATCTTAAGTCGTAAGAACAAAAATTAAAGAACTTTGATCAAATAAAAGGCAAATTCACAGAATAAATATTCTTTCTGCGTCTTCCGTAACTATAGGCTTCTATAACTTGGATACTTATGGCTCACAGTGGCTATAAACCAAACAGGACACTCCAAACAAAAAAAAAACCCAAACTAAAACTTCCTATTACTTCTTCATAAAAAAAACTGTTAAATTCCAAAAGCCACGCCACGTCTGGCCCCTACCTTGGACTCAAGTTTCTGCCACCAAAGTTCAAACAGAAGTGCGCTTCGGGTACTCTATTTGAGCTAGGTATACTATGATTTCAAACTTGGACGCTTGGTGTCGCTGTTTCATACCAACTTAAATTTTAAGATTCAGAAAATCATTAAGAGGATTGAGATTTTAAAATTTATTTAAAAAAAATGTTTACGGAATGTTATAGTAACGTTCTCGTTACAAATTGACAGGCTCATTTTTATAAAAATCAAGAA